CCCATATCTTTGCCTGAGAGTTCCTTAATTTCAAAATTATAATAATTTGGAGGGAGGGGGCTTACATTCTCCATTTCAAAGAAGGGCTCCTGCCTTTCTTAGCAGACACCTGTCCCTCAAACCAGGACAAGTGTTGAAATGGTTTTTAAGACCTAATTTTCTTTAGGAGTAACATAGGCTGATAAAGTGTCTTTGTAGTAAGTGAATTGTCTGCTTGGTTGGGTAACACCCAATAAAGACACTTGCTATTGATACACCAGTTACCAGCACTGACTGTCTATAAAAATTAAAAATCACAGCCCAAATTAAGACTGATAAGAAAAATAAATTAAAACCACAGCCAAGAAACACACATGCTCTAAAAAGGCAAACTCAAAGAGTAGCCATGTAAAACAGTTCCTGGAATATGGAAAATAGTTTATACAAAAGTTTAAAAATGTATGATAGGTCTATGAATGTGCAGTGGGCTGATGAATTTAAGGGGTGTCTCCAAACCAGCAGGGGTGCTTTTGGCTGAATGCCAATCACCTGCTGTTATAACCTTTTACTTCATTGTTTGTCTCTTATTGTCTTTTATTAAACCTTTTAAAATCTACCAGGAAAGTGAACCTTGTTTTTCACACCATTCTTCAATCACCTCAGACAAAGCTGAGGGACAGGAATTCATCCACAAGAAACACAGCTGAGACTCCTCCATGGCTGGGTTTGAGGTTGACAGAGACTGAAACAGTTCATGCCTCAAACGTTGATATAAAGTTTTATATCATAAAAAAAAACCCAACTTATATAATTGATATAAAGTTTTGCTCATTATAACAAAAACTGGATAAAGCCAAAGAAGGCTCCCTGAAAATACCTGGCTGGGACTTTTGACTGTAAGTTAAATTAGATAAAGAGAAAAGCCATTCTTTAATCATCTCAGGCCTAGGAAAAAACAAACAAGGCTGAGGGAGAGGAATGCATGCACAAGAAAGCCAAAGACAGCAGAGACTCTTCCCTGGCTGGGTTTGGGCTGGGGGAGACCAGAGCCAGGTTCACTCCCCTGGAAATGAGGTGGGAGGAGATTTTGGGTGTGACCTCTGGTCAGAGGCATTGAACACCTCACCCATCCTCCCTCACACAAACTGGCCCAGCTGTGGAACCCCCAGTCCTGGGAAGGATCATCCATGGGAAATTAATGTGAGACAGAGACCCCCCCAGAGTGCTCCCCAGAGCCACTCCTGAAGCCTTGCACTGCAGGACTGCACGGGATGCAGCAAACCTGGAGAGGGTTTAAGAGACAATGGCAAACTCCACCCCTGGGATGTGCCTGGGTTTTCCTGCCCAGCCCGAGCTCTATTAACCATTCTGTGCTCCTGGAGGGACCTCCACCACCACGAGCAGCTGGAGGGAGCAATGGAGCATTGCTGGGATGCACAGATGGCGTATTTCCCTCACTCTGTCACTCTCCTTCTGTTCTCCCTACCTATTTTCCATTTCTTTCCCTTGCTTTTTCTCTCTTTTTTCTCTCTCTCAAATCTCCTATCCAATAAACCCCAGACTATTGTCACTGGCATCTGGTCCTGTTTGCACCTTAACTGGGGCAGAGACATCTCTCACTATAATTTTAATAACCAAATCCTGATACACGTGGGAAGAGCTCCAGCATCCCCAGGGAATTTCCCCTTCTCTCCTTACCACGTTCTCGTCATGGCTCCCGTCCTCTTCCTCTTTTCCAAGAAGGTCCAGTAATTTTTCCTTGATCAGCTGCAAGAAAAGGGAGCTGGTGTTAAGGTGGGAAGAGGCTGCAGCGGTGCAGGGAGCACTGGGATGTGCTGGGTTTGGGGGTGCATGCCGAAGGTTGGGAGGAGGGGGATGCTCCGAGGGCTTTGCCAGGGAAAGGCTGGGAGAGCTGGGGATGCTCACCTGGAGAGGAGAAGCTCCAGGGAGAGCTCAGAGCCCTGCCAGGGCCTAAAGGGACTCCAGGAGAGCTGGAGAGGGACTGGGGACAAGGGATGGAGGGACAGGACACAGGGAATGGCTCCCACTGCCCAGGGCAGGGCTGGATGGGATATTGGGCAGGAATTGTTCCCTGGCAGGGTGGGCAGGGCTGGCACAGGGTGCCCAGAGCAGCTGTGGCTGCCCCTGGATCCCTGGCAGTGTCCCAGGCCAGGCTGGACACTGGGGCTTGGAGCAGCCTGGGACAGTGGGAGGTGTCCCTGCCCATGGCAGGGGGGCACTGGGTGGGTTTAAGGTCCCTTCCACCCAAACCATTCCATGACTCTTTGATCATTTTCCAGGTAGGTTTAGGACAGACCAGAGGGAAGATGCTCTCTGGCTGTGAATTTCCATTTGTGGTGGAAAAATCAGTCCTAAAAATGAACTGGAGAAAAGCAGGAACCTCTTTGTGGACATTTCCCTTTCAAAATAACTTTCCTGGGGAAAGAAAAATTCTTCATCCAAAAGAAACAAACCCTTGAACAGACTCTTTAAACCCATCCTGGATATGAGATTAAAACATGAGAAAGGGAAGAGTAGGGACAGTGGAAAGTGTCCCTGCCCATGGCAGGGGTGGCACTGGCTCATCCTTAAGGTCCCTTCCATCCAAACCATTCTAGGATTCTCTTATAAAATACACATAAAAACACATTAAAATTCAATTTCGGGGACTTTTGGGGTTCAGGGAAAGCTCCCAGCTCTGTGAGCTCCATTTCCCTTCCCAGCCCCCTCATTTTCCTGCTGCTGCAGGATTTGGATTCCAGGGAAATCCCATAAAACTTGGGAAGTGTTTTACTGGAAAACTTGCACTGGAAGAAAAGAGAAATAAAACCAAGAAGAAAGCTGAATCCTGAAATCCCAGAAAACTGGGCCAGTTCCTAAGGAATGTGGTTCCTGGTTGGTGCAAGAAGTATGGTGGGAATTTGGGACCATGAGGACAGAGCTCAGCAGAAGATCCCAAAAATCCTCTTTATGGTCACTATTTCCCCCAAATTTGGCCAATCCATTAAGAAAAATGTATCTGGTTGCTGTCATTCCCAGACTCTCTAAATATTTTGGCTGAAATCTCAAATTTTTGAGGTGCCCCACTTTGTGAAACTCCAAGCAGAGGTGAAAAGTTGTGTGTATTTTTTTTTTTTTTAATTTTAAGGTATTCTATTCCTTTTCTTTCCTGGCTGGTGGGGGTTAAATATCTGGGAATGTAAAGATTCCCCTGCTGGGGCATCCTCAGGGATCTGAGGGGACAAAATGAATTTTAAACCCAAATAAGAAGAAAAAAATAAAAAGAGCAGCAGAAACCGCTAAATTTGACAAATTTTATCAGCAGATGTCAAAGAAAGGAGGAAAACAGAGAGGAAAATCCTAAGTTTGTGTTTTCTTAGGGCCTAGTTAGGAAAAATCCCCAAGAAATCCAGGAAAAGGCAAATTTAATTAAATATGTGGGTATCCAAGCCAAGATCTAAATTGAGGCTCAGCTTTTGTTGCTCTCTGAGCTTTAGGCCTGGAATTTTTCCATATTTTTTATTCCTGGTTAATGGTAACAATGCTGGAGCTGCCCAGGAGGGAATGGAATTGGGGGAATTGTCTGAAAATATAAAAATATAAAGTCGGTATCTCAAACAAAAAAAAAAAAGAAAATGAGAGGATTTGAAGTGAGTTCACAGCTGGGATTGTGGGATTCCCTTCCCTGGGATGGGACATACCCCCAGCCTGGACTGAGACACCCTAAATCAACAGCCAGGGACAACTGTGGGTTATAGTGCAAAGATGTGTATTCTATCACCATCTATTGAGATGTGGGAGGGGTGGTGATCCTTATCTCTGTGGGAGATATCCTCTGCTGATGTGCCATCTGATAAAATCAGGGGGGTGATCATCGTTATCTATTCACAACCCATCCTTCCTCCAGAAGATATATTCCGTTAATGGGCCATTCAGTCCTATTGTGTGACTGATAAGATTCCATCATCCCACTGGGAGATGCTCCAGCCAGGGAGAGGAGCCAAGCATTTCCTACCCAGATCAAAGCTGAGATTTGGAACAGCAGAGCAGCCTTTTCCCACTGGATCCCAGAGGAAAACCAGAGCCTTGCACATCATCCCTGCAGCTTTGGAGAAAAACTGCACCTTGTGCAGGAGCCCTGCTCCAGCAGAATCACATCTGTCACTGCAGGAGGATGCAGCCACCATGGAATGGGACTGCACCAACCCCTGACTGATGGGGGACAGCTTGGATTCTCACTCTGTCAGTGGTTTTTCTTTTGTATTATTGTGTGTATTTTATTTTTTCTCTTTTTTCCTATTAAATTGTATTACTGACTTGGAGTCTCACTGGTTTTGCTTTCAAACCAGTACACTCTGACATCCAATGAGAATAAAACTCCCTGTTCCTACTGGGATGGGGCTGTGGGAGAGCCGGACAAGGCAGGTTGTAAATTCAGGATTTGGGGGGGGCTCTGGGATCCCCAGGGAATGGAAAATCCAGATGAGGGGCAGCAGGATGGGAAATCCAAGGATAAGGGGCAAATCCAGGGATGAGGGACTCAAGGATGGGAAATTTGGGCTGAGGGGCTCCAGGATGGGAAATGCCAGCCTTACCTCGTACAGGTAATCGAAGAGCTCAAGGATGGTGAGGATGCTGGCCCCGATGAACAGCCCCATCTGGCCACCAATGTCACCTGCAGGGGACAGCACCGTGAGGTCTCCCAGCACTGCTGGGCCCTCCTATCCTCAAAAATTGGGAGAAATTCCTCCCGGAATTTTCCCCCCGGAGCAGCACCATCTCCAGTGGCATTGGTGCCATCCCAGGAATGGGCCTGGCCCCCAAAATGCTTTCCCGTTAATGGAGCCTGGAGTGCTCCAGCTGCATCCCAGGAATCCAAGTTCTCAGTCTGGGGAAGGTGCTGGGAAGAATGAATGGCCCTGGAGCCAAGGAAATATCCCAACCTGGCAAAAAAGTGGGAAGGGAGGTGCCCTGGGTTTTTGGGAGACATCTCCTGGCTTCTGCTTGAGTGTCCCAGGGTGGAGGAGGAACCTGAAGAGATTCCCAGGAACCTGCTGGGAAGGTGACTGGGATGTGGTGCTCAGGGAAGGCAAATCCTACGGATTGTGCTGGAGAACAGCCTTGGATTGACCCCCAGAGCAAAGGCACCCATGGGTGAGGGGGGAAGGGGCCTTTTCCGGGGGTGTCCATGAGACATGGAGAGAGTTAAGAGGGAAAAGGTTTGGGAGCAAAGTGAGAACCTGGAATGATCACACAGAATCACCTGGAGGCTTTGAGCCTGGGGAAAAGATTCTGGGATGAGGCTCTTCCTGAAGCTCCAGAGCCTTGGGAATGAGGGTGCTATGAGGAGCAAGTGGGGTTTGGGTCAGAGAGGCCCCAGCAGCCTCCTCTTCCTCCCTGGAATTCCTGGACAACCCCAGGAGGTGCAGAAGGGCTCCTGAGGGGGCATTTGGCAGAGCCACCCATGTGGGGTGACATGGGGACACCTCTGTGTGCCAGGGGTGACCCAGCTCCAGCTTCCCAAGGTGATGGGCACTCCCAGCATTCCAGAAGGATCCAGGGATTTGGGGTGGCTCAGGGAGGCTGCAGGGCTGGGGGAGGGCTCACCCCCACCCCAAACCCAATGAGGCCAACCCCAAATCTACAGCTGGGACCCCAAAGCTGGAGCTGATTTGGGGCTGAGCAGCTCAGGGTCTCCTGAAGCATCCAAAGGCCAAGGGCCCAGGCCTGGCTGGAAAAGGTGGATTTGAAGCAGGGAAGAGGTGATGGGGAGATGGTTTTAGGATGTCCCCACACCCTGCACCACAGAGAGCACCCAGCACCCCCCCAACCCCAGATCTCCAAAAATGAGGGGCTGGAAGCAGGCAGGGGTGGAGCAGCTCCAGAACCTTCCATGGGTCTCCTCCACCTCCTGCTGGAAAGGATGGATTTGGAGCAGGGAAGAGGTGATGGAGACGTGATTTTGGGATCTCCTCCACACACTGCCCAGGGGACACCACAGAGAGCACCCAGGGCCCACCCAGCCCCAAAATCTCCCAAAAATGGGAGCAGGCAGGGATGGAGCAGGACCTTCCATGGGTCTCCTGCAGCTTCTTCATGAGGCATCCAAAGGCTAAGAGCTTGGGCCCAGTTGGAAAGGATGGATTTGGAAGAGGGAAGAGGTGATGGGAGATGGTTTTGGGATGTCCTCCCACACACACTGCCCAGGGGGCACCATGGGGAGCAGAATCCCCAAAAATTGGGGTGCTGGAGCAGGCAGGGATAGAGCAGAACCTTCCATGGGTCTCCTCCTCCTCCATGAAGCAGGTGAAGGCCAAGAGCTCAAGCCTAGCTGGAAAATGCGGATTTGGAGCAGGGAAGAGGTGATGGGGAGATAGTTTAGGGATGGTCTCCACACCCTGCACCACAGAGGGCACCCAGCACCCACCCAACCCCAAATCTCCAAAAAAAGGGAGCAGGCAGGGATGGAGCAGCTCCAGAACCTTCCATGAACACACGGAGTATTCATGGGGACATTGCTGGGATGCCCTGGTGGGGTGAGGAAAGTAGAGATGGGGCCTTGCTGGGGGTTTTGAGGCTGTGGACCCCTCCCAGCCTCCCTCTGCCCCTCCCAGACCAGTAGAGACCCCAAACTGGTTCCAGTCCCCCTTTACCAAGTAAGGCTGCAACTTCATAGGCTTTCTTCTGCTCAATGGTCTCGTAGTTGAGTGCTTCAAAAAAAATGTCCAGCACGAGAATATTCTCTCTGTGGAAAGGTAAAAAACATCAGCCAGGAGCCACTGGTGGCTCAATCCTTTGGGATAAAGGAAAAACAGGATTTTTGGGGCTTTATTCCCCTTTATCTTGATTGTTCCTCTCTCCAGAGTCCTCAGAACCCAAAGAACTTTGAACCGGAGCAGAGCAGGAGCTCAGGGCACCCTCAGGGCTCTGGGGGCCTTTGGAACAGGTGGGAAAGGTTTGCACAGAATTCCTCAGGACTATGGATCTCACTTTGCTTGGAACTCTTTTATTGGATGGTGATTCCTGATTGTGAAGGTGGGCAGGGCTGACACAGCATGCCCAGAGCAGCAGTGGCTGCCCCTGCATCCCTGGCAGTGTCCCAGGCCAGGCTGGGACAGCCCTTGGAGCAACCTGGGATAGTGGAAGGTGTCACTGCCCATGGCAGGGGTGGCACTGAGTGGGTTGAAGGTCCCTTCCAAGCCAATCCATTCCATGATTCTGTGATTCTGTGAAGCAGAATCCAAAGGATCTGGAACAATTCTCACTTCCCACACACAACAATCACATGCCCAGGGCTGGGAGAGCTCCAGGCCTGAGGACCTCGGTCCAGAGATACAAATCTCCAAGAAGACAAGCAAAACTGGGAAATTTTGCACTTTTTTGGTGGGACTGGAGGATTCCCACGAGGACAATCCTTGGGAAGGAACTCAGGCTGTTCTAGTGAGAAGAAATCAACCTCATCTCTTCCAGATTTTCACTCTGCTCTTCCCTGGAGGACATCCCTGTGCTGGGGATGGATTGGCCAGGACTGGGCATTTTCCAGACATTTCCCTCCCAAAACCCAAAGGAATTCAGGTGCTCCCCCACTCACGAGATATATTTTTCTGACTTGTTGAACTTCTTCTCCAGGTACTTGGCCGAGGTCTTGCTGGGGATCTTGACCATGGAGAGCTCCTTGTTGTACCTGGTGAGGTTACAGGGGGTCCTGCAGATGCAGTAATTGCTGTCCTTCTCTGCCAGGAGACCTGCGGGGGGGCAGGCATGGAGCTCACGGAGCAGGGACATGGAGCAGAGACTGTCCCCCGAAAAAGGGGCCAAGGGGCCCAAAATGTCCAATGTCCTGGACAGTTCTCTCCCAGTTCATCCCAGTTCTCACCATCCTGGAGAAGCCTCTTGGTGGAGGCAACAACGACAGCTCAGAGAACTCACGGCTAAGTCTCCTAAATCCACACTTGGGATGGATCCCTCCATCCCAAACCCAGCCCCAGAGTGGCTCCCCAGATCCCGAGGGTTTCTGTGCTCATGGAGAACCAGGAGGAACTTCATCCCAGAATGCATCCAGCACTTCCCAGCACCCTGGGACTGCTCCCAACCCCTCTCCAGGCTGCAGATCCCCCTGTTCCTGCCAGCCAGGAGGATCCAGGCCCAGCCAGGAGGATCCAGGCCCAGCCAGGGGGGATCCATGCCCAGCCAGGGGGGATCCAGGCCCAGCCAGGGGGATCCATGCCCAGCCAGGGGGATCCAGGCCCAGCCAGGGGGATCCATGCCCAGCCAGGGGGGATCCATGCCCAGCCAGGGGGGATCCATGCCCAGCCAGGGGGGATCCAGGCCCAGCCAGGGGGGATCCAGGTCCAGACAAGGGGATCCATGCCCAGCCAGGGGGGATCCATGCCCAGCCAGGGGGGATCCATGCCCAGCCAGGGGGGATCCATGCCCAGCCAGGGGGATCCAGGCCCAGCCAGGAGGATCCAGGCCCAGCCAGGAGAATCCAGGCCGCTGGAATTGCAGGGATGCAGGGATTGCCCCGGTACTCACTGAGCGCGGGCTCTGCGCATTCCTTGTACTGCTCCGGGGTGCAGAAGGGAGCATCCCCTGCAGGGACAGGACAAAGCCATCACAGGGGGACCCACGGACCTTCCCCAGACAGGTGACCCCCGGCTGTCCCCACCTCTCCTGCCACAGGGGCTTGTCCTGCAGGAGCTGCTGGGAAGAGCACCCAAGGTGGCACTGGAGCTAAAAAAGGGGATTTGATGATCCCAGAGGTTTTTTCCAACCTTAATCACACCCAGATCTCTCCTCCATGGCTTGCCCCTCTTTCACAGGGAATCAGGGAATATCCTGAGCTGGAAGGGCCCACAGGGATCACCCAGTCCCACCCCAGCCCTGCACAGACACCCCAACAATCCCAGCCTGTCCATCCCTGGCAGTGCTGTCCAAACACTCCTGGAGCTCTGGCAGCCTCGGGGCTGGGACCATTCCCTGGGGAGCCTGGGCAGTGCCAGCACCCTCTGGGGGAAGAACCTTGCCCTGATCTCCATCCTGGGGATCTCCTGGCTCAGATCCAGCCATTCCCTGGGTCCTGTCCCTGTCACAGGGAGCAGAGATCAGAGCTGTCCCTGTCGTGCCCCTCCTGAGGACACTGAGCTCAGCTCTGCCCTCAGCACCCTCTGCTCCAGCTGAACATCCCAGTGCCCTCTGCTGCTCCTCCTGTGGCCTCTCCAGACCCTTCCCCATTCTCACATCCCTCCTTTGAACCCTCTCGAGTTCTTCGATGTCCTTTTTTTATTTTGTGGTGCCCAAAACTGCCTCAGAACTCTGGGTGAGGCCGCCCCAGCCCAGAGCAGGGCTGGACAATCCCTCCCTCCCCCTCTGCTGTCCCTGATTCCCCAGGACAGGGATGGCCCTGCTGGCTCCAGGGCACTGCTGCCTCACACCCAGCCTCTCCCAAAGGCCATGGGCACCTTCTTCCCTCACATAGCCCCAGATATCCCCCGTGTCCCCAGGTGTCCCTGTCCCTGACCTGGCATGTGCACCATCCTGCAGTTGCAGTTCTCCACGATGTAGCGAGTCTCGCAGTCGATCCTGCAGGCTGTGATGCTGTACACCGGGAAAAACGCCAGGCCCAGCTCCGGGGAGCGGCACTCGCCCCACGGCGGGGGCAGGTACGTCAGCTGGGGACAGGGACAGGGACAGCGACATCAGCTGGGGACAGGGACATCAGCTGGGGACAGGGACAGGGACAGCGACATCAGCTGGGGACAGAGACACCAGCTGGGGACAGGGACATCAGATGGGGACAGGGATAGGGACAGGGACATCAGCTGGGGACAGGGACATCAGCTGGGGACAGGGACATCAGATGGGGACAGGACAGGGACAAGAACAAGGACAGGGATATCAGTTTGGGACAGGACAGGGACAGGGGAGAGGGACAAGGACATCAGCTGGGGATAGGGATATCAGCTGGGGACAGGGACAGGGACATCAGCTGGGGACAGGGATAGGGACAGGGACATCAGCTGAGGACAGGGGTATCAGCTGGGGACAGAGGCAGGTATGTCAGCTGGGGACAGGGGTGGGGACAGGGATTTGAGCTGCAGAACAGGGCCAGGGCCAGAGAGAGGGACAGGGACAGAGCAGGACATCTCCCCTGTCACAGGAGCTCCTCTGTTGCAGTCCCTCGGGGCAGCCCCCGCTCCCAGGAGCTCCCTGATTCCCGGGATAACTCACTGGGGACAAGCTGGCCCTAAGCAGTTCTCCTGGTGACACTCCCAGGTGACAATGAACGTCTCGGGAGTGGGAGCAGCTGTAGAAGGATCAGCTGGAATTTCTGCCTGGCAGACTCCACTTCACAAACTGGCAAAGCCCCACCAAATTTTCCCCAAGCAGGAAAATGTGCACATTCCCTGAAGTGTGTGGAGTTTTCTCCCAGCTGCTGCTCCCAGCCTGGCACGGGAATCCCGAGTTAAATCCGGGGGGATTCCACTCCTAAGGGCTCCTATGAATCCCTTCCTGGCCAGGTCAGGGCTGAAACCTCAGCAAAAGCCTTTCCATCCAAAGCCTTGATCCCACGGAAGTGCTGAGCTCGTTTCAGAGCTGGGCTCTGCTCTCTGTGCCACTGGAGCTGCTGGAATGCTGAGAAAGGCACCCAAGGAGCCAGAACAGCAACAGGAGGGATGGAGCAATCCCAGTCCTCAGCCATGGAAAGAATTAACAGGAGAGACTTAATTGGGTTTGATCCCTCTCTCTGCAGCCCCTCCAGATCCACATCCTCCTCCTGAGGGATTCCTGAAGGAATCCTTTTCCTTTCTCCCAGATTATCCCATCTGGAGGCTGCTGGGAGGGGTCTGGAGTTGGATCAGCCCCAGGATGTGGAGCTGCTCCCTCCACTCTCCCCTGCTGCCTCCGAAATGGGAACAAACCACAGCAAAGCAGCAGGAAAAGGCAGCAGGAGCATCCCTGCCCTCGGATCCTGCAGGAATTGTGCTCCCTGGCAGCTTCCCAAGGGCTCCTCCTCCAGCTCCTGCCTAGAGAAATCCAGCTCCAGCCTCTAATTGAGGGTGACAAACTCTCAGCCTGGCCCTTTTGCAGTCATTAATAATTAATTAATGAATTAAACACTTTTCCAACCCTCCTGATCCCAGGATTACTGGGATCAGTTCCCAGCTGGCAGGTGCTAAAAGGGGAAGGAAAAAATTCATTTGGCTCCTTGGAAGCTGGATGGATCCTGCTTGTCCCAAATGCCAGGAAAAGAGGGGATGAGTTTGGAAAACCTGGAGTGGAGAGATCCCAGGGGCAGGGGAGGATCAGCTCCTGCCACAGCCTTTCCCTGGCCACACTCCTGCCTTTCCACACTGCTCCTGGCACGGAGCCTCCCGGGAGCTGCCAGCATCTGCCAGCAGCCACAGAGGTCATTCCTTCAATTAATTGGAAGCGCTCTCCCTGTTTTCCCTGCCTGTTTCATTTTCTCACACAGGGAAATGTGGTGGAGATGATTCCAGCAGAGGTCAGGGCAGCTTCATAAGATCCTGGAATATCCTGAGTTGAGAGGGATCCTGCACAGACACCCCAACAATCCCACCCTGTCCATCCCTGGCAGCGCTGTCCAAACACTCCTGGAGCTCTGGCAGCCTCGGGGCTGGGACCATTCCCTGGGGAGCCTGGGCAGTGCCAGCACCCTCGGGGGGGTGCCCTGCCCCATCTTCCTTCTGGCTTTGGGATGGATCCAGCACCAATTCCTGCCCTCTCCTGTGGCTGATGGCACCAAACTCCAGCGATCCCAATGAAGGATCCAACCCCTCCCTGAACGTCCCCACCCGGGCTGGGCTCCCAACAAAACCAGAACCAGAACTCTCTGTTCCTTAACGAGACCTCCAACAGCAGCAACCTCATGTAATTTCCATCCCAGGCAGCTCCAGCTGTGAATTGTTGAAAAACCCAGATCAACCACAGCTGGCTGATCCCAGTTCCCAGTTAATGATGCTGGAATTTCTCCCAGTTCATGGTACTGGAATTGTCTGTTTGCATCTCCAGCTCCTTTCCCATCCTGGCTGTTCCTTCCCATTTGCTCCCTTCCTGAGGAATTGGTTTTAAGGGATGATTTTGTCTCTCCATCCTTTGGAAATATTCCCTCCCCATTTTTCCTGCAACCCCTTCAGGTCCTGGAAGGTCACAGTTTGGTCACCCCTGGTGTCTCATCCAGGATGATCAATCCCACTTTTTTTAACCAGGGAATGTCTCCCTTGGCCACGCATCCAGAAGCAGCTTGGCCTCTTTAACCCATCCACCACATTTTATGGACAAACCTCCTGCTGGAATTGCTTTCTCAGGAGTTTTTGTTGCTGACTCAGCATTTCCAACCCTGACATTGCCAGGTCCCTCCCAGGATGCTCCCAAGGTCACTCCTGCATTAAGTCCCAAGGTGGGAAATGCATCCCAAACGTGTCTCCTTGCAGGAACCACGGGACTCAGCCACTGCAGAAGGAGGAGCAAAGATGATTTAATTCCCATTTTTACAGCCTGGGAGTTCACTGTGAAGGGAGATTTAACGAGATCCCAACCATGGAGCCAGAGCTGGCTCTGGACAGGGGGATTTTGGGAAGCTCTGGCTGGAAAGCCAGGATTTATCCCCTGGTCCCAAGATGTGAATCCTCACTGGGGCTGAGCAGCTGCAGAAGGCAGAAAATCAGGGAGCAAAGGCCAGGGAATACTCTGATTTCCAGAGTGGGATGGAGAAAGGAGGGAGGGATTTGATCAGAGCCACAGGGCTGGAATTCCAGAGCTAGAACGAACCCCCACAGCCCAAATTCTGTCCCACAGAGGATCCACAGCTCCCACCATCCCAAATGTTCCCCACTCCACACTTTTTATCCCTGGAAAAAGAGCTCTTAACTCCCTGAGGCTGCTCTGAGCCGGGAGATGGGAAACCAGCTCCACTTTATCTGCATTCCTGTTATTTTCCAGCTGCAGGATCATTTCTTTTATGGCCCAGGGTGTAAAACTCTGGGTTCAGGACCCCAGTAACTGTGTGGGCTTTATCCAGGGGGGATTTTCATGGAGCTGTTCCACCTTTGGCTCTGGTTTATTAAAGGAGCAGCACAGGCAGAGAGATTAGTTGGAAAAACCCAGACTAAATCAGGGATTATGATAAAAGCTGCACATTGGAAGGTGGGGGAAGCCCAGAAGGTCCCTGAGGGATAATTAATTAGCGGGAGTTGTTAATGGCTGTAATTAGGTTAAAAATTACTTTCTGGGAAGAGGGATTGGGGTGGGAGTTGAATGCTGGAGATCCTTCCAGCTCTCCTGGGAAACGGCTTTAGAGCTCTCAGATGATTTTATACCAGTCAGAAAATCCCAGGAATGAGCCCTTCCCCCTCCCAGTAGCAGAAATGCTGGGGAAAAGGGACATCCTGGAGCTGAGAGCCCCTAAATCTGTTCTGCTCGACATCTCCCGTGTGGAAGGGGGGATTTGGGGAGAGACATTTTCCCCTCTCTTTCATCTGGATGATGTTCTCCTGGTTGGAATTCTCATTTTTCAGTGGAAACAGGCACTGCTGGCAATGGGGTGGGGAAGGATTCCAGTAGCTGCAGCAAAGCCCTGGAATTGGACCAATTTAACCCTGAAGTCCTTGAGATCCTCTCTGCAGGCTCCAGCTCGCAACCCTGCTCCCAAATCTTGTCCAGAATGGGATTTTTAAGGAAGAAAAGTTCTCCTGGGTTACAATGTAAAGACGGGCCCAAAGTCTGCATGCATTCCATCACCATTTGATAAAGCAGGTGGAGCAGTGATCCTTATCTGTGTGGGAGATATCCTCTGTTAATGGGCCATCTGATAAACCAGCTGGGGCAGTGTTCTTTACCTTTCCCACAGCCCATCCTTCCTGCAGGAAGATATTGTCTGTTAATGGGCCATTGAGTCCCATTGAATGACTGATGAGATTCCATCAACCCATTGGGTCCCAGTAATTAACTGATAAAATTCCATCATCCCATTGGGTCCCAGTAATTAACTGATAAAATTCCATCATCCCATTGGGAAATGCTCCAGCCAGGGGGAGGAGCCAAGCCTTTCCTACCTAGATAAAATCTGAGATTTAGAACACCAAAGCAGCCCTTACCCACTGGATTCCAGAGGAGAAGAGCTACCAGACCTTTCTACAGGATCACCACTTCAACAAGAGCACTTCACCTGGACTGCTCCCACCACCCTCACTAGCAGGTTGTATTCTCACTCTTGTCAGTGCTTTTCTTTTGCACTATTGCATATATTTAATTTTTTCTCTTTTTTTTTTTCCCTATTAAATAGTACTTCTGACTTGGAGTCTCTTACAGGTTTTGCTTTCAAACCAGCACAAGTCTTTTCAATCACTGCTGGAGCTGCCAGGTGGGTCTGACTGGAGGAGCTGTTCCATAAACCTTTGAGCATCATGCAGCCCATGATGTCCCATCCAGCCCTTTCTAGCCTTTCCCATCCCTGTCCATCCACTCCTTCCCCCCCACTATCCATCCTTTTCAATTTTTTTTCATCCCTGCCCATCCAGCCCTATCCATCCTATTCTTGCCCATCCCAGTCCATCCCTGTCCAGCTGTGGGGAAAAAATTACTCCATTGGATTTTTCCATGTGCCTGAAGAGGATCTGGGGTCAATCCCCAATCCATCCATCATCCATCCATCCATCCATCCATCCATCCATCCATCATCTATCCATCTATCCATCCATCATCCATCATCCATCATCCATCCATCCATCCATCATCCATCCATCATCCATCATCCATCATCCATCCCTCCATCATCGATCATCCATCATCCATCCATCATCCATCATGCATCCATCATCCATCATCCATCCATCATCTATCCATCCATCATCCATCATCCATCCATCATC